GTGTGTGTGTAAATCCATGTTGTAACTACCTGGGGTGTGTGTAAATCCATGTTGTAACTACCTGGTGTGTGTGTGTGTGTGTGTAAATCCATGTTGTAACTACCTGGGGTGTGTGCGTGTGTAAATCCATGTTGTAACTACCCGGGGTGTGTGTGTGTGTGTTAATTTTAGTACAAGAAGCGTGTAAATCCAATAAAGAAGAAAGAGAAGAAAATGCTATGATAAATGGACCGAACAAGTGTTATGGGGACACAAAAAACTAATTCTACCTTCTCAGAGAGGACTTTGCCAAGTCCTCTGGGTCTGGCAGGACTACAGAGAACTTAATCAGCGGAAGGGCTCAAGCTATGCCATGGGGAAGAAATCATTACTGCCTTTCCCTAAAGGCAGTCCTTATCCTTAGGAATCTCAGAAAGCTCAAGTCCTTTACTGTGGCCACAAGGATTTTCATTTTTAAAAATAATTTTTCAACCACTTCATACCCACTAGCATGAGCCATAATGAAAACAAATAAAAAGTGGAAACTGTCAAGTGTTGACCCAGTGATTCCGATCCCGGGCATATACCCAGAACAACAGAAAACAAGCTCTCCTTTGAAAATTGTGAAACGTACGGAAACCAGTATAACAGATAGTGGATATTCATCACTAAACTCAGCATACAATCTGTTTCCACCTTTTTGTTTTTGATACGACTAAAGCTCCACTCATCCCCACCCTTTTCCCTTTGCCCCCTTCCCAGTCCCCCAGAGGTTGGCATAATCCTGAACTTGGTATGTCACATTCTCATGTATGTCTATCTTTATTACATAGGTATTCACAGGCAAGACACAATATCACTTTCTTTTTTGTTTTTTTTTGGCCATGCCGCACGGCATATGGGATCTTAGTTCCCCGACCAGGGCTCAAACCCTCACCCAGTGCAGTGGAAGCACAGAGTCTTAACCACTGGACCGCCAGCGAAGTCCACTTCCTTTTAAAGCTTTCCCTGAGTGGCATAACCACTGGACCACCAGGGAAGTCCATGTCCTTTTAAAGCTTTTCCTAAGTGGCATCATATTGCCTCTCCTGCAGCTTGCCTTTTTCACTAAGTATCATGTTACCATATTGATGCATGATCTCTTTCATTCAATACCAAATATAATAAAATTATCTTCTTTTTTCTTATTTTTGCCAGGCCCTGAGTGAGATAGCAAAGTACAGAGATAAGCAAAATACATCCTTGCCCTTAAGAAGCAAGCAGAAGTATTCAAAACTTGCAATCCATCTCAAGTTACCAGAGCACGGTTGCTCAGAAAACAGCAGTGGTGTGGTGGAAAGGGCATCAGAACCTACAATCCAGCCTGCGATCCTGCACAAGTCATTCAATCCCCCTGATCACATGTGCTCACCTATCGGATGAAGGTATCATTTCACAGACTTGCTGGAAGGGTTTGTTGTATTAGGTTGCTCCCTGCTCTCCTTTCAAGATCAGGGAAACTGATCAGAGAAATCAAGGGACTTGCCCATAAATTACCTAGAAAATCAGTAGCAGGATCAGAACCAAATTCTGGTCCCCTGCTGAATCCAGACATCAGGCCACCTCTTCTTGGGGCCCAGAATAAATCCATACAAAAAGACAAGTTTTTCCAGGCCAGCTGGGGTAGGATGAAAGAAGAAGGCAGAAATATCAATACCTCACATTCCTCAACAACTTTATTAAGTTGAGATGAAGAGCTGGGCCTACAGAGAAGTGTTCTAGAAAAAAAGACGGGGCAGTGGGGCAAAAGAATGGCTTGAAACTGCAAAAATTCAAACAATAAAGACTGGAACTTAGAGAGGATTTGGAAAAAAGTCTAGCAAAATGATTAAAAACTTGGACTTGGGAATAGGAGAGACCCACATTCAAATTCTGCCTCTGACATGTCTTCACTGTGTCAGCCCAGAAGAGGCAATTTAACTCTTCTGGATCCCTCATCTATAAAGCGTCTTACCCATAAGTTAGTATGAAGATAAAAAGGGGTAATGTCAGGCTTCCCTGGTGGGGCAGTGGTTGAGAGTCCGCCTGCCGATGCAGGGGACGCGGGTTCGTGCCCCGGTCTGGGAGGATCCCACGTGCCGCGGAGCACCTGGGCCCATGAGCCATGGCCGCTGAGCCTGCGCGTCCGGAGCCTGTGGTCCGCAACGGGAGAGGCCACAACGGTGAGAGGCCCGCGTACCGCAAAAAAAAAAAAAAAAGGGGGGTAATGTCTATAATGTCTAGCAAGTACTCAACAAATGCTAGCCAAGGAAATGAGAAAGAGGAGGATGGCAAAGGGAAAGAGGTACCAACGAGGGGCTGAAAGGGGTTCCAATGAGGCTCTGGGATAAGACATTCTGGAGAGGCTTTGGGCAAAAGGCCGTTGTTGGCTGAAATGAGCCGGAGGCTGGGAGAACTGGTAACAAAAGGTTACTCCTCTGTTGAAAATTCTCCAGTAGCTTCCCATCAGGGAATAAAACCCAAACTCCTTACCATGAACTGCTATGTAAAATGCCTACACAATAAGGCTCTTTCTCTGTAACTGACCAAGTCTTACTACTTCCTCCACTGGCTCCCTGTGCTTTGGCTCCTGGAACACACCCGCTGATTCTGTCTGGGGCCTTTGAAATTACGGTTCCTTCAACCTGGAATGCTCGGCACCCAAGACTTTGTGCAGTTGGCTTCTTCTCACCATTCAGATATCACCCCAAATGTCACTTCTGCAAAGAAGTTGTCTTCGACCTCCCATTCTTCATAAAGGAGCTCCCCAGTCAAACCTATCACAGCATCACATCTGTCTTCTTCAATAGCCCTGATCATTATTGCACAGTTGTTGTTTGCTATTTACCAGCTTAAGATCACACCTGTGGCTCCCTCACCAACAAGGATGTATGACCCTTGAGAGCAAGGACCTCCTCCATCTTATTATACACTCATTACATACAGGTGCTGAACAAATGTTAATTTAAGTAAAGACTGACCCGTTGAGGAGAATGAGAGTTGCCTCAGGGATTAGAATGAGGCCTAAATATCAGAATGGGGTCCAATAGGACAATTAAAAAGCAGGCAGCTCACACACCTATCAGGATGGCCACTATCGAAAGAACAGAAAATAAAATGTGTTGGTAAGGATGCTGAGAACTTGGAATCATTGTGCCCTGCTGGTGGGAATGTAAAATGGTACAGCTATTATGGAAAACAGTATGGAGGTTCCCTGCCCCCTCAGATTAAAAATACAATTACTATCTGATCCAGCAATCCCACTTCTGGGTATGTATGCAAAAGAATTCAAAGCAGGGCCTCGGAGATATCTGCACATTCATGTTCATCATAGCCAAGAGGTGGAAGCAATTCAAACGTCCATTAACAGGTGAATGGATAAAGACAATGTGGTATATCCACACAATGGAATATTATGCAGCCTTAAAAAAGAACGAAAGCCTGTCACATGCTACAACATAGATTATAATGTCATAGAGATTATTCAGTCACAAAAGACAAATACTGCATTATTCCACTCGTTTGAAGTACCTAAAGTAGTCAAAATCATTGACATGGAAAGCAGAAAGGTGGATACCAAGGGCTGAGGGGAGAGGGGGAATTAGTGTTTAGTGGGTACAGAGTTTCAGTGTTGCAAGATGAAAAAGTTCCAGAGATTTGTTGCACAACAACGTGAATATACTTAACTCTACTGAACTCTACACTTACAAATGGTTAAGATGGTAAATTTAATTTTTTAACCACTGTAAAAAATGATAAAACATCTATTAATATGAAAATATGTTCCTGTTATGTCATTAAGTAAAAAAGAACCAGGAGGTCTTCCCTGGTGGGGCAGTGGTTAAGAATCCGCCTGCCAATGCAAGGAACACGGGTTCGAGCCCTGGACCGGGAAGATCCCACATGCCACAGAGCTACTAAGCTTGTGTGCCATAACTACTGAGCCTGCAAGCCACAACTATTGAAGCCCGCGCTCCGCGACAAGAGAAGCCACCGCAATGAGAAGCCCGGGCACCACAACCAAGAGTAGCCCCCGCTCGCTGCAACTAGAGAAAAGACGGCACGCGGCAACACAGCCAAAACTAAATAAATAAATTTAAAAAAAAATCCACACAAAGAACCAGTAATAAAACCATGTTACAATAATAATAATAATAAAAGTGGAAAGAAAGGCTAAGGAAGCTTCTCGTAGGATGCCCAAGCTGGGGGAAGGGGGAGGAATGGGCGGGTGGTGGGAGGGCCTGGTTGGCCAGTCGGCCTCGGGGCAAGGAAGCCCTAGGCCGACAGGGCCAGAGCGACGTCTGGGTAGCTGGGGTCGGGGGAGACAAGAGGGAGAAGGAAGCCTGGCGGCGAAATGGGGGGCCGGGGTCGCACCTTGCGCCTGCAGCATCCGTAGCGCGCGGCTGTAGAGTGTGGCGGCCTCGGCGAACTGGCCATTGCGGAAGCTCAGGTTGCCGGCGGCGCGGAGCTCCTCCACAGAGTCTGGAAGTTTGGGGGCCATCCTGGCGCCGGACCGGTAAACTGGGGGGTGGCCCCGGTTCCCGGCGCCGAGGCGTGCCCAATCGCGTCTGGGCGGAAGCACCGGCTGCGAGTATTTGGGTGCAACGGCTACCCTGGCGGGAAGAGGGCGGGACGGAGCGGGGCACGGGCGGGGCCTGCGCGAACCCGAGGCTCCTAGTGCCCCTCCCTCTGCGCATGCTCAGTTCTGACCTAGCGCGGAGCTGCATTGGGGTCCCCGGAGATGCGCTGGACGTTTTGGCTTGCTAGAACCCTAAGGATGAAACCGTGAACAGGTCCCTACTTGCCTGGTGTTTACATTCTAGGGGGGCCTGACTTGTTACCTCACGAGCAAATGAAGGCGATAATCTCATAATGTGTTTAGTGCTATAAGGAAAGCAAAACAGTAATACCATAGAAGGTGACCACGTGGAGACTTTTTAAGTAAGGGGGGTGGGGAAGGCGTCTCCGAGAGACTAATAATTTGAGCCGAGACCTGAGACTATTTAGGAAATGCTGTTTCAGACAAAGGGTTAGCAAGTGCAAAGGCACTTAGGCTGGAAACTGGCACCTAGTTATCTATAGATACTGATTTTATAAATGAATGCAATGATAGATTGATGTAAATCTTTCGCTGAGGGAAACTAGCTTATCTTCAGACTCATTTGACTACACTCTATGCCCCACTTACAGCTCCAATTTTTTTTAAGCTGCTTGTTGCTACCTGTGCATATTAAGCTGTTTCTTTTGCTTCTTAACCTTTGCTTATGCTCTCCTCTTCCTGGAATTCTTTTCCAAACACTTTTTTCTCTTCCATAATCCTGACTCAACCACTAATCAACTCAGACATCATCTCCTCCATAATCTCCCTCCTCTGCTCGTATTGCTCCCGGATTTTATTCCTAATTTAGCTCTGATTCTGTGATTGTCAGTGTCGATGAAAATTAATCTATAGTCAATCTGTGAAAGAAGCGGAAAATTTTATTTGAGCCAAGTTTGAGGATTGTAACCTGGGAACAGCACCTCAGCTCTGAGAACTGTCCCCCCATTAGAAGTCAAGGCACAGTTGTATAAGTTTTTTGAGACAAGTGTCATTGTGACCCCCTACAAGATCAAGAAGGAATGTTATCTTTTAAGAAGTTGTCTTTATGCTAGGAGAATGTTGCTGTTTATGGTTGAGCAGGTATTTCTGCTGATGGGGAGGTTTGGTTGACGCATAATGCAGATACACAATGCTCAGTAGGGGGGAGAGAGGAGGCCAAAGGGCAGAGAAAAATTTTTATGTTCAAATTTTTGTCTTGCCATAAAATATGAATTTTATTTCACATCAGTTTGCAGTTTTTCTCAGACTGTGAGGTCTTTAAAGGCAGGAAGTAGGTCTTCTTTATTTTTCTCTCCCCAGACCTAATAGGATCTGGCACCCAACATGCACTTATAAAGGTTTGTTGACAAAAACCTGGTCTCTAGCATCAGGTATTTAGTTATACAATTGACCCCTGAACAAGGAAGGAGTTAGGGACAACCAACTCCTGCACAATTGAAAATCCGTGTGTAACTTCACTTGGCCCTCCTTGTCCAAGGTTCTGCAGCCTTGGATTCAACCAACCTTGTGTTGTGTAATACTGGAGTATGTATATATATATATATTTGGCTGCATTGGGTCTCCATTGCTGCACACAGGCTTTCTCTAGTTGTGGCGAGTGGGGGCTGCTCTTCGTTGTGGTGCGCGGGCTTCTCATTGTGGTGGCTTCTCTTGTTGTGGAGCATGGGCTCTAGGTGCGTGGGCTTCAGTAGTTGTGGCTCACAGGCTTCAGTAGTTGTGGCTCGCGGGCTCTAGAGCACAGGCTCAGTAGTTGTGGTGCACGGGCTTAGTTGCTCCGTGGCATGTGGGATCTTCCCAGACCAGGGCTCGAACCCATGTCCCCTGCGTTGGGAGGTGGATTCTTAACCACTGCGCCACCAAGGAAGCCCTGTGGTACATATATATTTTAAAAAATCCACATGGACCCATGCAGCTCAAACCCATGTTATTCAGGGTCAACTGTAATTATTTGTGTAAACTCATAACCCAACCAGACCTTAAACATTCTGAGGGTAGGGTGGCTGTTCCATCCGAATCCCCTTCCAGTCTGAATTTTGCCTGAGATTCTCCTGGCCCAGAAAATGGATCAAGATTTCTGTAAACCAATCACAATAATCTCATTCTTTTGCCAGTGATTGGGCAAGGGGTAAGCATGTGACCCTGATCTAGCCGAGGAGATAGGAGGATGTGTGCTGGGTGCTTATGGGAAATTTTTCCTTCCCTGATAAGATAGAGACACAGGACGTCAAAACAGCCTTTTTTGCTCTTTTTCTGTTGGGTTAAGGACATGGTACCTGGAGGTGTGGCAGCCATTTTGCAATTGTGAGTCAATAAGCCCAAGTATGAAAAGCCAACATGCTGAATCAGGCCAGAGAGGAAAGATGAAATCGATGTGCTTGTGCCCCTGAATCAGCCCTAGAACTGCTGACTTCTGGACTTCTTAGTTATAAACAAGATATGCTGTAAGGTCAGGCCACAAGATGGCTGTTCTCTTGCTCTCTGTACATCCCCTGGCGGACCAGGGCCTGCTGCACCTATATCCTACTCACATGACTCACAAGTTCCTCCGTACTTGTCCTAGGCCCCAGCTAATCACGGCTTATCAAAGGGGTGGTGAGGGGCATGCCCCTCTGCTGGTTTCCCCAGTAACTAATGAGCCCACCTGACATCAATTCCCCTATAACTGGTAATTCCCCCCCCACCCCCCAGCAAAGACTGCCACTGTGTCCTGCCTGCCGTGAACTGCACACGGGTGGGGTGTCACTCCAGGACCTTGCTTCAGGCATGTAAGCTCCCCCATCCATCAAACCATTGATGTCTGTGTTGCTGATCCCAGGTTCTTTCTTCGGTCTTGAAGCTGGGCAAGCACAGGCCTTGTAGGCCTGTGGGGTGCAGCCCAACAAATGCCACTGTGCCTTAAACCACCATTTAGATGGTTCTTTCTTTTTCAGTTGCTTGAGGCTGAATGTATTCTAAGCGGTATACCAGACAGTACACCTGGGGCAAGTTGTATTTTCCCCAAATGGCTGAAACAGTATTTCCAGTTCTCCATGCTCCTCCAAAACCTTGCCACTCCCCTATCAAGAGATGGAATCATATGTCCACTCTCCTTGAAACTGGGTGGGTCTTTGGGGGCCCCTTCAACAGGGGAAATGACATTATGTACCTTCCAAAGCTATGCCATTGAAAGGCATTACAGCTTCCTCCTGGCTCTTTCCACAAATATACTTTAGAAGCCAGCCTTTATTCTGTGAGGAGGCTCAAGAAAAATGGAGTTGGACCCCCCATCCCTGATCACCAAGTCGGCTTCCAGCCAACACTAACACCAATTTGTCAGCCATGTGAGTGAGCCATTTTGGACAGGGATTCTTCCAAATTCTGACTGCCGCTGACTGACACAATGGAGCAGAGGAATTATGGGTATAATTCTTACTTCATAGGGTTTTTTGAGGCTTAAGTGGTAGCTTAGAATTGTGCCTGGCACATAGTAGATTCTCAGTAAATGTTTTCCTCCTGTCAGGAGAATGGCTCCATTACTCCGCTTTTAACATATGGGGTCCCCTACCTGGGTGACCCTGAAAGGTGGTTGATCAGGTGTTAGGTTTTGTAGATGGCCTATCTTTGAGAAAAGCAGGACAATTAAAACCAGTGAGAGGCTGCTCTGGGTAACTTTCTCTGTGAGTAAGTTAGGTGGAATCTTCCACTTTTCTTAAACACTTGCTGATGGTGGTGGCAACTGAGGATTTATGAACTTCCACAGCTGTAACTGGATCTCTGAGTGGAGAGGAAGCTCTGTCTCTCATGCCCAACCAGAGGGTCCAAGTGGTTGTCCAGTTTGGTGGTGCAGGCTCTGGAATCAGATCCATCTGGATTTAAATCCCCAAACCTATACTTTTAGCTATGGGAGCTTCACCTCTCTGGCCTTACGAGAATAATATTACCTAACTTACAGTGTTTGAGAATATTAAATGAGTTAATAGTAGTAGAGTACCGCAAACGTGATAAGCAGTGTCAAATAATTAATAGATAAGATTGGAGATAACGTTACAGGCTTGATATAAGGATTAAATGAGATAATATATGAAAGCAAGTACATGGTAAGAGCTTAATAAACATTAGCTATTTTTATGTCCTCAAACTGACTGAAAGGTAAGGCTCTTAAAAGGATGCGGCAATTTGCAGGCTGATGCTATGTGACATCCAATGAGAGGTCATGCACGTTCCAGCCTCCACCTGGAACAAGAATTCAACCAGAAAGGAACGGTAGGAAACCACAAATACCTCCCGCGTAGAATTTGGCTTGTTAAGAATCCACAGTTCTTATCAAGCCGGTGCTTCGCAAGAAGCCTCAGTATCTCCGTCTGAGAAATGAGGGGCCGGGTCCGAGGCACAGATGGGTTCTTGGTTTCGACACCGAGTGTCTTGGGCGAACAATGTCGCAAGAGAGAAGGACGCCGTCCCGAGCTTGATTGAAGAGGCCTCCCCCGGGAGGAAGCTCCAGTGCTCCGCAGTTCCGGGTCCGCGCCTCGGCGCTCCACGTGACTCGGGTCCACACCACGTGGTCCAGGCCCGGACCTCGCGGCCCCGCCCCGCTCCCGCCCCGCGCGCCGCTTCCGGTAGGGGCGGAAAGCGGAAGTGTGGGAGGGTCTGCGGGGCGGGATCCAGGAGGTCCCGGGGGAGGATGGATCAGTGAGCGGGTCTGGGCGGCTGCCGGCAGCGCCATGGAGACGGTGCAGCTCAGGAACCCGCCGCGCCGGTGAGGGGCTGCTGGCCAAGAGGAAGGGGGTGGGGGGAGAGGGAAAGGCGGGAACTGGCGGAGGGGAGACACTGGCGTGCGAGACCCCGGAGGGGACGGACCTGCGGGGTGGTCCGGCTGATGGGGCACCTGCTGAATCAGGGACCTCTGGCTGGTGGGGGTCCGGCCGAGGGGGATAAACGTGGGGCTGGTTAGAGAGATCGCTTGCTGAGGGGGACATACTGGCGGAAGTGGGGGACAGGTGGGGGGAGCAGCTGCTGAGGAACGTGGGGACAAGTTA